AAACATTTTTAAAGATGAAATAGAAAAAATATAAATGCTGTCTTATAACCTGCTTTCTTCACACTTTATTATGGATATCTTTCCATGTCAGCAAATAAATCTGTTTTTAATGGCTACAAAGAATATAATACATAGATTTTTTTAATTGAAGAATTTCATAGAGATAGACTGAAGGAATAAAATCCTGATACTCCCTCAAGCTCTGTTTCTTTTGAAAACAATGTTCTTTAGTTTATTAGTATCACATCTGAAGTCTATTTTAATTTTATATATTGACTTTGCTTTGTTCTTTTGGCTAGAATTTAATATTTACATACTTTTGAAACCTTTCTCTCTGATGGATTGGGTGAGCTGCCTGTCTAGACATTGGGACTTTATAATGTGGCTTCCTTGAGGATAAACATTGCATGCAGTGGCATGATGTAAGACTCTTAGTAAAAAGAAATTAAAGGCAAAGGTGCAGTATAAGCTTAAGGAATAGTATTTCTTAATGTTGGATGATACTGAGGACAGAAGTTATTTTACCAGGTGGTGTTTGTGAACTGCTTATAATGAGATTAAAAATTTAAATTAGTTACTGAGAGAAATTTTAACATCATTCTTTGATAGATGAGCTTTGCAAACAGGTTGAGTTATCTCTCAGAAATAAAGCAGAGGCAGGTGACTTCTCAGACCTACCCCAGTCCTCAGATTGCTGAATCCAGTTCACCTGAAACTTATAACAAGATTTCAACTTTAGGCAATAAATGGAGTTTCTTGGAATAATTTTCTCAGTTGCTATTATTGCCAAGTTTCGAAATTTAAAATATTGTTTTGGCTGGACAATTAGAATAAATTTCAGTGGTATTCTTTTCAGTGAGAACTTTAGTTGATCAAATGCATCTGAATTGTTGTCTTATTCTAGTCATCTATTCCATGTAAATGTTGGAAACTAAGGAAATGTGGGAATTACTGCCGATTCCAATATTAAGGAATTATGTAAAAAACTGCCATTTTAAATTACATTTCTCTGATTAACTTGTTGGGTTAAATTAGATTATTAGATTTTGTCAATCTTCTTCCCAACAGAAGAATATGAAATAAACTTCAAACCCAGGTGGGTATTGGGTTTTTCTTTATGCTGTGGCTCTTAAATTTTTAATTCCATAACCTAGAATCTTGAACTTTGAAAGGAAATTTAAAACCTTGCATTGCAGTTTTTTCTATAAAAGCTTTCATCTCAACCTTCTTGAGTATATAAGTGTTAATGGCTTCTGACTTCCTGATTAAAGCACCACTTCCTTTTAGTAAGAATTAGTTGGGGCACCTGGCTGGCGCAGTCGATAGAGCATGCAACCCTTGGTCTCAGGGTTGTAAGTTTGAACCCCACATTGGGTGTAGAGATTGCCTAAAAGTAGGTCTCAAAAAAATAAAAAACAAACAAAAACGTATTAGCAATTACACAGGTACTCTCTAGAGGTCCGAGATCAAACCCTAAGGCCTCTAAGTGCCTTTCTGCCATCTAAAAAGCCTAGAATTGAAGAAATCTGAGATGTACCTATTACTTAATCCTAAATCAGTATAAAATGGGAAATCAGCATTTCCCATTAGGTTTGGGGTCTGTTGTTATGATTATATTAATAAGCAAGGGAAGGCCAAATGTTTGAAATGCTCTTGATGTTATGAATAAATAAACCCCTCACATTTACAAAAGAAAACTAATGGGGCACCTGGGTTGCTCAATTGGTTAGGCGTCCGACTTCAGCTCAGGTCATGACCTTGTTTCTCGTGGGTTTGAGCCCCTTGTCGGGCTCTGTGCTGACAACTCAGAGCCTGGAGCCTGCTTTAGATTCTGTGCCTCCCTCCCCAGCCTGTGTGTGTGTTCTCTCTCTCTCTCTCTCTCTCTCTCTCTCTCTCTCTCTTTCAAAAAATAAACATTAAAAAAAATTTTTTTTAAGACAACTAATGTTTACCCTGAATATCCCAAAGAAACTCTTGCTGCCCACCTGCTAACTTAGTCTCATAACTTGTATGATAGGTAATGTTTGTGGAGGTTATTTGTTTTTTCCTTTTATTTGTTTCAGCTTAGCCACTGGTTGGTGTAGAAGCTGTGGATAAATTTCAGGAGCACAGTTCAGTTGTTCCCATTCTGTATGTATTTGGGCCTTGACAGAGGATGAAAGAGCCTCTAACATATTCAGGAAACTGAACAGTTAGCTCAGAGCTTGCCAAGGCAAGCCCAAGTTTAGGTATGTAATAATATGTGAGCTCTTGTTGATAAAAAATTCTAGTTTACCTGTATCTGGTTTCTGATTAGTTTAATATTCTGTGTTGTGTTCCTAGAATCAGAGTGTTGATGCTGCCTTCCAGTCTCCTCATGTGCATTTACTCCTATCCATAGCTATATGTGTATAATGCTCGTTTGGCCCAGCTCTCTGTTAGACCTCTGTCCATTTAAGTATTAGTTCTTAGCTTCTTACAAATGAATTTGATTTGAAATGCTCTGTTGCTTTGTGGAACATAAAGTTAGCAGTACAGCTCTCTCAACCTTGCATACTTGGAATCAGAATGGTGGATGTTACATTCTTGTTGTATCAGCTCTTATTAGAAACAAGCTTTAATATGGCCACTTTTGCCATTTGTGCTTCCCTAACTTTTCCTAGTTTTATCGGATTAGAGACAAAAAGATAGCCATGGCAGTGAGTCTTACCTCTCTCTGCCTTGCTAAATGGCTCACTTAAGCTGTGTGACTGCATTTCTTTTTCTCTTTGCATGGCTACTTTTGGATTAGTGACAGAATTGAGGGAAAGGAAACTCCAAGAGAAGCACTGAAAGAATCCCAAATAGAAATTTCTGTCAAATTTCTGACAGTATCTTGAGCTAGTTGATGGGATTGGAACTCTGTGTCTCTTATGAGATAAGGAAAGATAAGGAATGGTGGGTATTTTATACAGAGTAAATTGCCTCCAGTGCAGTTTCCTGGTTTTTTATTAAAACAGATAAAGAGAAGAGCAGACTAGACTGTGCACTCTGCAAGGGCAAGGACAGTATCTTTCTTCTACCATTGAATCTTCAGCACTTGGCTCTGATTATATATGCAGTAAATGTACAGTAATATTTGAATGGATGTTAACTGGAAGCCATTTTTTTCATCTGTTTCCCACCCCACCCCCACATTTTTTTCTTTCTTTGTTGGAATTTTTATTTTTTAAGCTTCAACTCTGTGCCCAACGTGGGGTTTGAACTCATGACCCTGAGATCTAGAGTCACATGCTCTACTGACTGAGCCAGCCAGGCCTCCATCTTTATTGGAAAATTTTGTTAAATTGCTTTATTGAGGCATAATTGATCTTCAAAAAGTTGTGCATATTTAATATGTACAGCTGGGTGAGTTTGGAGATAAGTATACATCCATGAAACCATCACCACAATCTATGCCATAAACATCTCTATCATTTCCCAAAGTCTCCCCAACCCTCTTTATTATAATAATTGTTATTATTTATTGTTATAACATAAGATGTGCCCTCTTTTTTTTTTATTTTTTTTTAACATTTATTTATTTTTGAGACAGAGAGAGACAGAGCATGAACGGGGGAGGGTCAGAGAGAGAGGGAGACACAGAATCCGAAACAGGCTCCAGGCTCTGAGCTGTCAGCACGGACCCCGATGCAGGGCTCAAACTCACAGACTGTGAGATCATGACCTGAGCCGTAGTCGGATGCTCAACTGACTGAGCCACCCAGGCGCCCCAAGAAGTGCCCTCTTAACAAAAATTTTAATGGCCTTTTTTTTTTTTTTTTAGCAGTTTTAGGAAAATTGAACAGAAGGTAGAGATTTCCCATATATTCTCTGTCTCCATTCTTTCATAGCCTGCCCCATTTGTTACAATTGATGGACCTACATTGATTGACACATCATTATTACTCAAAGTCAAAGTTTACCTTAGGGTTCAGTCTTGGTGTTGTACATTCTGTGGGTTTTGACAAATGTGTAATGACATGTATCCATCACTTTGGTATCCTACAGAGTAGTTTCATGGCTCTAAAAACTTCTGTACTCCCCTACACTCTGGCAACTACATATCTTTTTACTGACTCCATAGTTTTGCCCTTTACAGAATGTCATATAGTTTGAATCATATAATATGTGTAGCCTCTTTAGATTGACTCCTCACACAAAGTAATAGGCATTTAAGATTCCTCCATGTCTTTTCATGACTTTATAGCTCATTTCTTTTTAGTGTTGAATAATATTCCATTGTCTGCACGTATTTAGTTTATTCACCTACTGAAGGACATCTTGGTTGCTTCCCATTGTTGGAACATTTTAAAGTAAAACTTGGACACCATGTCATTTTACTCTAGATACTTAAGAAAAAAGCATAACCACAGTGCCATTATCACACTAACAGTAAATCCTTAATATCATTTAATATCCTGTCCATATTCAAATTTTTGGAAGGCCCTTTTAAAGTACTATAAACAAGCAATAAATAAAATTTTTAACAAAAAAATAATACAAGCCTCTGAAAAAGCAATGTCTTTATCACTAAAACTAAAGAAGGAAATCTCATAGTGTATAATCTTTCAATTGAGTACACTCCTCTTATATATTAATAGCTTGCTTTGTATTGAAATTGTTTCTGCAACTTGCATCTATGAGTCCAGTGCTCACATTCATACAACTCACATTTCCCTCTTCGATCTTTAGAACATGCCCTGGTAGTTGTTATTATAAATGCTAGTAGCAAATATTTATAGAGCTTTTACTCTATGCCAAGCACTGTGTTTTACATGCATTATTTCATGTGATTCTTATGATCCAATGGGGGTAGGTATTATTATATCTCCCTCCAATTAATTTAGTAACTTACTGAAGGTTTCATAGTTAATACATGAGCTGGGATGTGAATTTAAGTCTTCCTGAGCATGCTGTAAGATGCTGATATAAAAAAGGTTGAATGATCTACAACTAACCTTCTAAATTTCCTAACATATCTGTTGTCTGTTATCTTCCAGGCTGTAAGACTAGAAAGTACTTACCAGAATAGAACACGCTATATGGTAGTGGTTTCAACTAATGGTAGACAAGACACTGAAGAAAGCATCGTCCTAGGAATGGATTTCTCTTCTAATGACAGGTACGGTACCCCAAAAGGAAGGATGAGAAGACTCCTTTTTAAATGACCTATTCCGGTTGCCTTTTGAGTTATTACAAAAACATCTTTTGCCAATTCTGTTCTTAAAGGTGAATGCCTAAAACTAGGGAGCACAAAAGTTATCTTAGCCATACAATTTTGAGGGATGAAAATGATTAGTGAATGTCTTTGATTGTGTTCCTAATTTTTCACCTATTCCTCACCTTCCTCTACCCTTAGGTGGTAATGAATATAAAGCAAATGATTTAAACTTCAGTCTCCAGGAATAAAAAGCTACCTTTTCTTTGTAGTTAACTTTATTTTAAGCAGTAATGATTCACATTGCTGATTCTAGGGCACGTACCCTTTAATATAGTGCACCAGTGGGTCTTGGGTTCAAAGAGAGCCCACTTTAACTGCAATCTCTTCTATTTATTCTTGGCCTTACACCTTGCTTTTACCAAATGTTTTACTTCCTTTTTCCTGCTTCTGAGGTAGAAGGGCAGGGTTGGGAGGAATTGATTCTTTAAACTCAGAACAGAACCTTTTATAATCTTGCACCTTTGGCTTTAGCAGTACTTTGCATCCTATATTTAAAGATACCATACACCACTCAGAACCTGGCTCTTTTGTGTCCGTAAGGTTTATTGCTTTCCTTTTTTATTTTCCCACTTCTTCTGGAGAAACCTTGAGAAGACTGTGGAATGTGGCTAAGCAGATCTTTGCACTCCAGATAATAAGCCTCAGGAAATCCTGCCAGATGTCTCAAAGCATTGACTTCCTGGTTCAGGACTAGAATGGAACTGTGGAGTAGCTGGCAGTGTGATCCGGGCCTGGGAGAATTTAGCCACAAAGAGAAGACAGGGAGTGATTCTAATTGTCCTGATGTTGGGAAGAAAAAAATCACATTTGTCGTTAGGTTTCCCAAACAAGTGTTTACCTACACTTGTACAGTCAACCTGAAAGTTATTTGTGGTTTCACGAGGCCAGAGTTGTTACCTTGTATAACTCTTACAGCCTTTAATTGTATGCTCTGAAATTACACAGGTTTATAAACCACATTTCGGTTTTCTCCTGCATGGATTTAACCTCTGGTATTAGCTAAGCAATAGACCTTTCAGAAAGTAAGCATTTATCCTTTTAACTACCTACCTTGCCTACATCATTAGTATTTTAAGACCTCTGATTTGGACTTTTCTCTCTCTAGATCTGCGCTGTCCCATACAGTAGCCACTAACCACTTTGTGACCATTTAAATAAGTTAAAATTAAACAAAATTTAAGTGTCAGTCCCTCAGTCACAACCAGCCACATTTCAAGTACTTTGGCTATATGTGGCTAGTGGCTGCCATATTGGACAGTACATGTACAGAACATTTCCATTGTGGCAGAAAATTCAGTTGGGCAGTGCTACTCTGTATCTTATTTCCTTTGGTTCTTCCTGATTCTTCTCTTAGAAACCCCATAAAACAGGAACTGGGATTGCGTGGAAACTTATACTTGAGTCTTCCCCTAGGGATACAAGGCAACAACTTCAGATTCTCCTGACCCAGCATGTGAGAAATGAGCTGTGTAATCTTATCTCTTTTACTTTGTTCCAAATGTTCCCAGAAATCATAAAGAATGCTTATTAATATGGGTGCCCAATAATTTATCCTCAGTGAATTTCATCTGTCTTCAGTAATGGTCCTGCCTGAATCACATCTAACAAAAGAAAATTTTATTTTATGGAAGACAGAATGTGATGTGAAAAGCTATAGAAACTAGTTTTCATTCTGTTTGGTAACCTCAGTATTATGAATTCCCATCTTCTGTTTGATTAATCTCCTTGGATAATAAAAAAAAGGGCTGCCCACTTCAGAATACTGGCACTCAGGTAATCTAGTATCATTTCTAGCTCAACTGCTGCTGAAGGAATTTGTATCATTTTATATCAGAGAATATAAAAAGTTCATATTTCAAAATAGCACTAAACCAAAGTAGAACCCAGATTGTTTATGACAGACATATCTTCCCAAATAGTTCCCAAGATATGATATGCCAATTCATTTAGCCTGTTTACAAGTTCTTTGAGTATTGTGTTATATTTTAAGGAAGACATTTTTATTTAATATGAAATTTATTGTCAAACTGGTTTCCATACAACACCCGGTGCTCATCCCAAAAGGTGCCTTCCTCAATGCCCATCACCCACCCTCCCCTCCCTCCCATCCCCCATCAACCCTCAGTTTATTCTCAGTTTTTAAGAGTCTCTTATGGTTTGGCTCTCTCCCTCTCTTTTTTTTTTTTTTCCTTCCCCTCCCCCATGGTCTTCTGTTCAGTTTCTCAGGATCCACATAAGAGTGAAAACATAACAAATATTTAATATACAGTGTAACCTGGGTTTGCAAATTGCATTGAATATATTTCAAATTATAAAATAATAGAGCTTTTTGGTGTCATTTTGTAATTTTTCTTTGAACCCCCAACACCTTGAAATGGCTGGTACAAATAGGCACTCGATAAATATTTGTTGAATGGGATGAGTACTAAAATAAGTACCTATACTCTAAAGGAGAAAAATCTCATGAAACTCAAGGTAAACTAGATAAAAAATACTAGGTGTGCCTAATCCAGGCCTGTCTTTCCTATCATGTGAAAAAGCTATTTCTTAATGTAAAGAAGGAGCCTGGCCTGAATATAAGCTGAAAATGTGATGTTTGATTCCTACATATCACTGCCTCTTGTCCAAAATTTAACTGGTGTTTGATCACAAGCTCATATATCACACTCTTTTAGACCTCTGCATCTTCTTCTGTAGTTACTTAATGTCAAGATTTGTCACTAGGCTATAAACGTTTTGTGTTTATACCCAAACTATACTTGTTGCTGAGAACCTGGCTAGGCACTCACTTCAAAAAGAAAAAGAAAAGAAGGAAAAAGGAACTACTCTGAAAATAACCCCACTCCATCTGAGCACACCATTTTCAAAACAAGTTTTACTTGTGCTCATCTCATCTTCTCAATGAAAAGAGTGGTAGAGTTGTCTTCCTCCCCCCTGGACTCTAGCATGATAGCTGTGTGTCTGGAGTTCAGGCCCAGCCTTCCAATGTGGATAAGCTGTTGCAATCTTGATTTGACTCTCCTGAACTCTGGAATTATTAGTGGAGGGAGCATTGAGTAACACAGACCAGCAAGCACAGTGCAAAGCATTAGACACAGCCCACCTAGGGAATGGCCTTGGTCAGCCCTGCACTGACTCCCAACAGTCAAAGCTTGATATTCTTCATGTTGTTTTCACTGCATCTTTGTGATGTTTCCTGTCTCTCCATGCCCCCACTTTCAGTTGTATTAGAACACTCACCAAAAATTCATACTCAACATTTGTTTTATGTGACTATTCATATGTATTGTTTCACTTTAAATATTTAAAGTATTTATGATAACTCTATGAAAGTAGGTTTTGTTACCTGCATTTTAAGATGAAGGAATTAAGACTGAGAGAGGGTAAATAACTTACCAAAAAGAATTGAAATACCGAAGGAGATCAAATCCAGATATTTTGATACAGTGTAAGTGTTTTGTTATGTTTTGGTACTGTGATACACATTTTTAGTGTGTTATTTAATCTTAAAAAAGGTGTTTTTGGTTTTATAGATGAGAAAACTGGAGCACAAAGCAATTAAATAATTTGCCTAAAATTATACAGTTAGTGCCAGAATCTAGGTTCCAGGCCCATGTGACTCCAGAGCCCATGCTCTCAACCATAGTTTGCTGTTCTGCCTTCCATGTGTACAGTTCCTTCTACTATACCATGCTGCTCTTCTAGATATATTGGCAGGGAGAGGGCATCAAAGCCTTTGGGAGACTGGATGGAAGGGGAAATTGGCTTAAGGCAACCTTAAAGAGAGAAAGTGGCAGAGGTCCGGGGAAGACTACAGAGAAGTGGTGCGATAGAGACACAATTGAGAACCCATGGCTTTCTTTCTTTTTTTTTTTCTTTTTTTTTAAATTTTTTCTTTTTTTACATTTTATTTTTTTGAGAGAGAGAGACAGAGAGACAGAGCACAAGTGGGGGAGAGGCAGAGAGAGAGGGAGACACAGAATCCGAAGCAGGCTCCAGGCCCTCAGTCAGCACAGAGCCCAACATGGGGCTCAAACTCACAAACTGTGAGATCATGACCTGAGCCAGAGTCGGATACTTAGCCAACTGGGCCACCCAGGCACCCCGAGAACCTATGGCTTTCTATCCCAACCTAGTCCCTTAACTTAAAGCTAATTTCCTCCCTGAGTTAATATGTGACTTAAATAGGATTTCAGTATACTAGGGCTGTCCTTTTGTTGGTTTGTTAACATTCCTATTCGCTCTGCATTTCAGCAGCACTGGTCTAGTTCATTGCACTGTCACCAGGCTCTGTTTTATTTAAGTTGTATTGTGTCTATTTTTTCTCTCTAACTTGATCACAAACCATTAACAATTACTTTTTTACATATTTTAATTCCCTTTCTCTTTTAGACAATTGAATGTGTTCTGATGTTTAGTAAATCTACATAAACTTCAGAATTAAATTTGAGCAAATTATATATTCAGAGGTCTTCAGCAACCAGCAGTAGTTCTTGGCATTAGAAAAAATTTTGGAGGGTGCCTGAGTGGCTCAGTCAGTTAAGCGTCCAGCTTCAGCTCAGGTCATGATCTCAAATTTCATGGGTTCGAGCCCCTTGTCAGGTCTATACTCACAGGTCAGAGCCTGGAGCCTGCTTCAGATTCATTCTCTCTCTCTCTCTCTCTCTCTCTCTCTCTCTCTCTCTCTGCCCCCCCCCCAAAAATAAATATTAAAAGAAATTTTTTTGTTGTTGTGTTAGGTGCTGTGACTTTGGGGTGAAACCTGCCAATCACAAGTCAGCATGTGGATTTTTAGACAGTGGCCACTTTCGAGATTGCAATACAAGTTGCTCAGTCAATAAGTTTTCTTTGTTAAATATGTAAGGACCTAACTAACCACCTGTTTGCTACAGCTCCAGAGCACATGCATTAGGTTGATAGTAATATGATAGAAATTCCTCCACTCCTAACACTCCAGAATTAGAGCTGAGGGGCTTTATCCTTTGTGTTGAAAGAGTTAATAAAGAACTGCCTCCTAGAATAATAGGCATTATTAACCTGTGGACTGTTTCTTGTCTTGCAGCAGCACTTGTACCATGGGCTTAGTCCTGCCTCTCTGGAGTGACACCCTAATTCATTTGGATGGTGATGGGTAAGAGCTTTCCCTTTTTATTCTCCTACAGAAAGCCAAGGGATGGGTTCCATCTTAGTGCCCATTCATTCAGCTGAATGGGAGGCCCAGTGTGCCCAAGTGAACTGTCATGTCAGCAACTCAGTGAGTCCTTTTAAACTTCTGTTTTGTAAAGTGGAGTAAAAATACAACTTGCCAGGGCCTCTCACTTCTGTTCTTCTAGGCTGGCTATGGTAAGAATCCAAACAAAGAAAAACTAGTTTGTTGGCTCACTCTTTCATCTGAGCATGTGGGACTGTTGCAATGCTCTCCCAGAGGATGATATGTTCTGTTTCAAATAACCTCTTGCTGCCTCTGCCAGCTGTCAGCCTACAGTATAACCCCTTTCCTGTGCCAATTCCTTCCAGTGACCCTCCACCCCCACCTCCTGGTGTTTTTAGAATGTGTCCCCAAGAGACCAAGATGTTTGCTCCAGTTTATAAAACCCAGGTCAGGTTTGCTAAGAACCCACAAGACTTCCAAATAGAAATATACAGCAGAACAGTTTGTCTGTAGCTACAGCTGGGAAACTATATGTAATTTCCTAACTCCAGTGTGGGAGTCCATTCGTTTTGCTTGGTAGATAAAATCAGACAATTTGTTGAAGCTTTTCAGTCAAGCTTTTCAAGTCAAGTTAACTATACTCCAGTTAACTTCTACATGAACCTGGTGATTTCTTCTACCAAGCCAGCAGTTGTGAGCCTGGGAAATGACCTCAAAAACTCAAAACTGAAATAACCTACTCTCATTTGTGGATTTTTGTCTCATTTTTTTCCTTAGTGGGTTCAGTGTATCAACGGATAACAGAGTGCACATATTCAAACCTGTATCTGTACAGGCAATGTGGTAAGAGGACTTTTAATGTCTCTATGAAAGTTTTTAAATATAGTATTAGGGCAATATTTTGTGAGTAGTAGTATTTGAAATACCACAGTTCTCTATGAAAATGCTATATGATCTGTTTGTGTGTTTAAGATTTTGTGTGATCTGTTCGTGTGGTCCTCATAGTTAAAGATGACCTAAGAGTTCATTTTTCAAATTATCATAGTGGAAGGCCTTAAGCATTGGTAAACAAGTAAAATTCAGAAATGTTCTTAGACTCTGGAAGACACTTAATGGATTAGATTGCCAATTGGACCAGAGTTTTACAGGGACACATTGACTTAAGTTAGTAACAGTCTAGAGCCAAATCTACAACATTGCAGTACTACAATGCATTAGTGTTGAATTTCTTAAGGTAATCAGGGATATTATTGATGGAGTTATAGGTAGATAAGTTTCCATTTAAATTGCTGGTGACTGTTTGCAAGACTGCATAATACAAATAAAGCCTACACATTATAGTTGTCAATAACCATCAGCTGGTGTACTGATGCTTTGGAGCTACTTAACTATGTGTCAGTGTGCTTTATGTGGATTATATCTAGTCATCACACCAACTCCCCAAAATAATATTAGTGGCTCCTTTTTATGGATGAGAAAACTGAGGTTTTGGAAAGGTTACATAACTGGCCTGAGAGTATCTCTTCTATTTAGACAGAATCGACTCTTACTTATTCTCGATTATGTAGAAAAATGATCTCATATAACTAGGGAATGGTGTGACTCTAAGATTTAGTCTGTCCCCGAGTTCAGGGATTTGAATTTTAGTTTCTCATTCAGCTGCCTGTTCTGTAGTAGAAGTCCCCCTGAGGAACAGAATGGACAGAATGAAAGCCAACAGGAAATAAAGGAGCCTGAAAAAAGATTCCAGAGAGCTCATTTGCCCCTGAATAACAGGATTGATAGACTTGAGGTGGATAAAACAGAGTCAAATGAGTTTAAGAGTCACCATTTCATGCAGTAATTGAGGTAGAACAGAGTTATGTGTTTAAGCCAGATTTTTAGATTTAGGGCACATTTCACAGATAAATCTCTCACGGAAAACTTACCTTCTCTGACGAAGGCTCCTTTAAAGGCAATTGACCTATATCTGTTCCTAGGTCCCAAGTAAAACCAAACAGTGTAAGTCCCAAAAATGACAGTGTTTTTAGTAATATTTTGAAAAGGAGTACAAAGCAGTCTTAATTCATAAGACAGTGAAGATTCAAGTAATAACCTAGTTCAATCTGGGATGTTCTAAAGCAAATTGACTAGTCCTACTTCTGTTAGCTCATTGTAGAATAAAGTTTTCGGTGTACCACATGGGGAGTAGTGAACTGAAAGTCACAGAAAAAAAAAAAAAAAAAGATGTATGGATCAAAGCAGCATTTAGACCAGGTGTTTCCTTCATAGAGAAGATGGTTACTGCATACTGCAGCCTCCCAATCCTGTATGCAGCTAAAATAACTGAGGTGGCTAATAAGCCTTGAGTGTATTTTAGGGCACTTGCCCCAGACATTTGTGGCATATGCTTTTGAAGCACATGTTTCCTGGATAAAGAAAACATGTGTTGAATATCCTGTACATTGCACTCAGCTGGCCCTTACCTTCCAATCTATGTAATGACACTGAAATTCACTGAGAATTCTCAGAATCTGACAAACTTCTCTTGAGAATCTGGCTTACTTTGAGTAATAGAAAGCATTTTAAAAGATTCTGCAACTTTGTTTTTAGGGAAAAATTTGTTTCCCTGATAAAAATGGACTGAAATGTTTTTCCTTTATTAAATTGGCAACTATTTTCTTTTTTAACTTACATTATATGGGGTTGACAAGGACTTAAGGAACAGACGTTGTCATTTACTATTGGTGGAAGAATAAACTGGAACAGCCTTTCTTAAGGATGATTTGCCAATATGCCTTACCATTTTGCATGCCCTTTTAACCTAGTAATTCTTCTTCTAAGAATTTATCCTAAGGTGATAACCATGGGCGTGTACAAAAATTTTAACCGTAAGTGTTGTAATAATAGCAAAAAATGGAAAACAATTTAAATGTCTGAAAAGGAGGAATTAAATTATGGTGCCTCCATGTTACTAAATATAATGCAACCATTAAGAATAATCTGGTTGATGGGACACCTAGGTGGTTTAGTTGGTTGAGTGTCCGACTTCGGCTCAGGTCATGATCTCGCGGTTTGTGAGTTCAAGCCCTGTGTCGGGCTCTGTGCTGACAGCTCAGAGCCTGGAGCCTGCTTCTGATTCTGTGTCTCCCTCTCTCTCTGCTCTTTCCCCACTCGCACTCTGTCTTTCAAAAAATAAATAAATATTTTTGAAAATTAAAAAAGAATCTGGTTGAAGAATATTGACATAGACGTTGGTGAGAAGGTACAAAGTAAAATCAAGTTAAAAGGTATATAGAATGTGATCATATCTTTATTATAGATCTATGCATAAACAAAAAAACTGAAAAGATCTATACTAAAACCTTAACAGTGGTTATTTCTAGGTGGCCAGATTATAGGCTATTTCTGCCTTATACTTAAGATCCCTAAATTTTCTAAAGTTAACATGGATCACTTCTGTTTTGAGGCAAAATTTTAGAAGTAAGATGTAAATAGATTGCCTATAGAATTTTCTCATACTGCCCTCTTCCCACAGGAGACCAGCATGAGCTAACAGCTAATAAGACATTTCTTTTAGCAAATACTGTGCTCCAACCATAAACTAGACATTCTTTTAGGTACTTGAAATATGTCAGTAAACAAAATGTAGAAAGATCCCTGCTTTTATGTAACTGACTTCCTAGCATTTCTGGCTTTAGCTTTTCCCAAGTATATAACCAAAAAGGTACTTTTCAAATAAAAAAATAAAAGTTAAAAAAAAAAAAAAGGTACTTTTCAGTTTTGTTTACCCTTGGGTTCCTAAGTTCAGAGTCAGAGATTTAATTACTCTTAGTATAACCAGAGCTATTCTTAGAAAGTAGCTCAAGCATATGAATAAATGGTTTAAAGAGACTGGGAAACTTACGCAGCAAGAATGATAAATGTCATTATGGGAATACAAGCTGGTGCAGCCACTCTGGAAAACAGTAT